CTACCTGTACCAGTGTACATCCTCCGGTCCAGCCGGATTTGTAAGGTAGAATTGGGATCGTGATAGTGGGGGGAGGAAGCATTCAAGAGCTAGAGGAAAATTGTATATTTCATCATTGCTATACTGCACCCTGACTTGCTCGTCTCCTCCCCGCAACCCTTCTGCAAGGGGTTGTCCATTTTTGGACGGTGCTTTTTTTGAACTTTAATTTCTTTATGTGAATTGAGTACGCAGGGTAGGGAGAGTTGTGCCCCTTTCCCTTTTTGACTATCTATTACCATTTACTAGAAGTAGCCATTTTAATATTTTCTTATGTATGCTCTAGAAGCTCTCGATGCATACTGTAGAAGTACCTGTGGCTGTCTTAAACACACATCCATCCATGGACACATCCACACAAAGGAATGCGTCCTGTGTATTGGCCATTTTTAAAAAACGCCAAAACAAATTCTTCACAGCTTTTCATAGCAGCTTATGATGTTGTTTTGAGGGGCCATGAAGGCCGTTCTAGCCCATAGCCACGCGACACAGTTCTAGCCCATAGCCACGCGATACAGTTCTAGCCCATAGCCACGCGATACAGTTCTAGCCCGTAGCCACGCGATACAGTTCTAGCCCATAGCCACACGATACGCCACAGGACAAAGCTCTGCCTGGTCCTACGCCTTCTTCCCAGTTGTTGATGTGTTTGCGCTGATGGTTGCTGCCACTGTGTTACTCCCGCTCTTTGAGGGTCTTCCTCCCTGCAGGGGTCTCTCCTGATACGTGGTCTCCATTCCTGCTCCTGGAGAGCTTTCTGCCTGTGCTTCCTGTACGTCAGGTTTGCTCATTCTTCTGGCAGTTCATGGTAATACTCTGTGTTCTTCATCAACCCCGGCATCAAATGCATCAGTTCTCACTCACTATCTAGCTTCCCTGTGCCTGTGAGACTATTGGAAATGCCATGACTTCGTTCAGGTACACTTTAGTCCTTCACGCGTTTTCTTTGCAGCTTCCACATGAGCAAACTTAAGTTATGAATTTTGAGCAAAATTATGAATTTCCCATTCTTCCCAACGTTAGCCATAATTTTGCATGATCTGCATAATTGATCGTAATCAGTATAACACAGGTAAGTGACTTTCTGGTGCTCTCTGCTTTCTGCAAAGACATCAGCAAAGAACTCCTTCATTCCATGTCCTTTTCTGATTCTGTTTGAATTTCCGGATGTACTGCTGCACCTGTTCTTGAATTATCTTCAGCAGTATTTCACTTGCATGTGATATTCCTTGTACTGTAGTTCAGTTGTTCTATAGCTTCCCCATGCTGTTGGATCACCGTTCTTTAGAATGGACACAAATACGGATTTCTTCTTGATTGGCCAGGTAGCAGCTGCCTTCCCAATTCCTTGGCCTAGACGAGTGAGCATGTTCATCCATCTGTTAAAGCATCCTGTTGGTATTCATGGATTCCTGATGCTTTGTCTTTCACCTGTGCCTTCAGTGCACAGGTACTTCTGCCCTCAGTACCATCGTTTCTTGATCAGTAGGTTGAATATTGCCCAATGCATGTTGATACCATGAATCTGTGTACTCTCTTCCATCATCTTTTTTTTTTTTTAGCTGTTCAGCAAATTTTTTATTTCTTTTTTATTTTTATTTTTTAACATTTTATTAGGGGCTCATACAACTGTTATCGCAATCCATACACACATCAATTGTGTAAAGCGCATTTCTACATCGTTTCTCAAAACATTT